AACTTTTCATGATGGATCTGGTTCATGTTGTTAAATGTCATTTTATTATTGTCTATATTATTTTTTCTTTTACGCTGGGATTCATTTTATAATGATTATATAATTGGAAACTAATTTACAAAATAAAAAGAAATAAGTTTGTAATTCCCCATAGTTTATACTATAGAACAATGTTGATGTTGTTCTCCATTTTTTTGTCAATGACTTGGATGTAATAGCATTCTAAGAGGTCTTGTTTCGGGACAAGGTATCAAAAATAAGATTACTTTACGGTGGTATGTATACTGAATATTAAATTGTAGCAGCTTTCTGAGGCTTTGTATTATGCTACGAACTGCGAAGGAAAATACATATCTCGCAAGACCGGAGGTCGAGCTAATATTATATTTTCCTATGCTGCGAGTAGCAAAATATATAGCCCACGACAACTTATACACGTAATTATCCTTTTATTATATACCTTCAGGTTTTCAGACAAAAATGTTTCAATATAAATAGTTATATTATTAGTTTTTAATAGCTGTCAAGAAATAAAATTAACGAATGACGGATGAATACGTACTATTTTGCAAAAGAGGACGCGCCTTCTATAGTTTTAGTTCCCGTTTTCAAATGTTACGTTACCTACAGTTTAGATGGGAACCAACGTGAAAAATAGTTCCACACTTCCATGTATGAAACCGTATTTGTCACATACACAATACGGAATTGTCTGTTAAAGCGTATTCGCGTGTTATTTAGAGAGAAAATTTATAGGTATATAATAAAATTTATAAACAGTCACGCCGAATACATTTTACAAAAGATTTTTTGGAGGAATATATAGATCTAGGACTTGTATTTGGATTTCTCGGATTTTATCACAATCTCAATTGATTAGAACGGATCTTTCTTCGTGAGAGCCTTGACTAGAAATGTTCGCGCGAGTACATGTTACAGATCATGATAATTCTTGTACCGATATAAATTATATATGAATTATAAAGTAATCTACTTAATGGTAATCTTAAATAATAATAATTAGACCATCAGCTTTTTGCGTACTGTTTATCCGTAAAACCCGTAAATTGTGTTTAAGTCTCAAATTCATCACGAGCGACCACAAATATAAATTGACTGTCTATTCCACGTACTAATAATTGAAGAATTATATTTTTATTATTATATGATATAAATATAGCTGCAATCTTTTTGGTCCAAACAGTAGTCAATAAAAGTTTTTTTCCAGTCTAGAAATACATTGAGACTCATATTGAATGACCAAACACCGTAGACTGTTAATTGCCCCGTGAGCATTAAAAAGTAATTGTTGCGTTTTGTCCTTTATGGCATATTTTCGATTAAAATATCATTACTTTACTTTTTTACTTAAAGACTTTACCGCAATGATGAGTACCCAGCAAACACAAGACGTAATACTGACGTCAGATTTAAGTCAGGTTCTGACGTCGGATGACGGTCGGAAAAACGGTTGGATTTGAAAGTTTTTTTGACGTAATAATCTGACGTCAGGTAGACGTCAGAATCTAACCATTATTTAACCTTTTTCTGACCAAAATCTGACCATTATCTGACCATTTTCCGACCTCAATCTGACCATTTTCCGACCTCAATCTGACTATTTTCCGACCTAAATCTAACCAGTTTCTAACCATTTTCCGACCTCAATCTGACCATTTTCCGACCTAAATATTAACCCTTTTCTGCCCTAAATCTGATAATTTTCTGACCTTCATCTTATCATTCCCCTAATCTTTTTTGTTTCACCACGTCATAAATATTTTCTGGCTAATCCTGATTTGATCGAATTTAATGTAACTCATTCTATTAAGTAACTTTCCATCAAATGAAATGTATAACAGAAAACTAAAAGCAAAAATATGTTTCATGCTTTTTTAATTCAAAATAAAAGTTGCAATTTTAAGCTAATACATACAATTTTAGTAAATTCTGCAAGGTTAAATAATTTCCATAAATTAAACAAAATAAAACATAAAATAAGTTAATTACAAAACAAAAAGTATTACAAAAACAATGACATAAATGAAACTAAGAAAACATGTACAAATATTAAAGAACAAAACAATGTATGCACATTTCTATATCAAATAAAATAATGAAAATATTATAATTTTAAGAAAAGTTAAAAGATTCTGATAATAATGTTTCAAGCAATTTATGACAGATTTTCAGTACTTTAACTATATTTCTACAGCATTTCTAAAACATTTAGTGCCATTTTGCATATTTTGACCTCCTTTGATAAATTGTCAGTAATGTTTAAATTGCTGCCTTTTAGTTACTTCACAAAGTTATACTTTTAGATATCCATGAGAATTAGCACGAATTTTGAGGTGTGATGCTTTAAGATATGACCTTCTTTCAGCACCCCTCATCTGTCCGGAGGATATGTAGCGTTTGTAGCGCCCAATAGCGTGTGTGACATCATTTTCACTGAAAAAAAAGAAATTTATGAAACATGTAAAAATAACAAGCAAAAATGTTTTCATGGTTATCTTAACTTAATGAACAATTTTGCCAACTTGTTATAAGAGAGCTTTAACAAAAATTAAAAGTAAACATAAATACTGAACATTTAAAAAGCCGCTTTTACACTCCAGTATAGTATGGATTAAAGTATGTAATAGAATTTTCAAAAATCTTACTTTCATACGTTTCTTTTTACATATTCACGTGTTTCCGTCCCTCCGACCTTTGAGAGCATGTCCAACACTTTAACTACCTGAAAAGAAAATTATATTCTAACTTATGTATATATTCTACGTTTGAAATAGAACAGTTACGCAAGTCTTAAATATTTCATAGTTTTGAATTAAAGATTTAATGCCGAAATGTCTGGAACCAAAACGTATTTGGTTATTTGGGACCGAAACGTCTTGGTCCGAAATGCTCGAAATCGTACACATTTATTCTCAATTCTCAGATTTTAACTGACAAAAACATCACGGTTTAAGAAAAATATGAAAACTAAGCGGTACTGAAAGGCATATTTTAAACTCTTCACAAGCAGAGTTAAAAACATGTCAATTTGAAAAAGATTTATTATTAGACATTATCGCGAATTTGTGTGACATTTTACTTCAGCTGTTCAAATAATGATAATGAAATTTAAGAGTGCTTGCAATCATGCAATTATTTATCAAATACAAAGTAGAAATAAATCTAAATAAATTGAACTGACCTTTTTGTTCAAGAAAATCTATAATATTCACTAATCAATGCATCCCGATTCCTGACCGACAGCCAAAACGTAACGCCTACGAATTTGAATTTCCATCCACGTGACTTTAGATTCGAATTATAGGTTAATTATGTTTTCTTTCCCTTTTCTGTCACTATGATTAAATGTTAAAGCACTATTAAAAACTCGTAATTTTGATACATATAATGTACCACAAATGATAATATTACAACGTTAAATGATTGGAACTTGTAAACAGATCTGTGGCTATAAATAGATTTCATAACAATAACACATGTAACTTGCCTATATACAGTGCCACCTTTATGTTTTATTAGGTTGCAGCGCCGCGATCTTGGTCTGTATTTATATAAGAACACTTCATTTGTAATCCAAATAACATTTGAAAAAAAGTTTAAATGATTACAACAGCGAATAAGGATTATTTTTGTTATTTTTTTTACCTACTATCAGGACATCGACCAGAACCTGACGTTAGTACGACGTCAAAAAGAAACATCTATTAGACATCGGTATTTAACGTCAGATTTACGTCGTATTTGGTCTCCGACGTCGTGACCAAAAATCTAACATTAATCCGACGTTATTTTAACGTCATGTGTTTGCTGGGTATAAACTTTTCCCCGCGCTTCAACGAATCAGACAGAAATTGTACATGTATAAGGTTGTTACTTTTTTGTTATTTGGTTTTATTTTCTTAAGCCCTATTCATAAAAAAAACAAATTTTTTTTGAAATAGTTTAGGTTTTTCCAAACGACCCTTGGTTCAAAGTCCCTCCCGTCCCATCCCTATCTTTTTTTAAATGGCAACACAAAATTTTCTTCTGAAAGGTTTTCCCGGGAGCGATTCATATGTGCTTTTTTGACTTTTCCCTAGGGATTTCCCCGTAGGTTTTTTTTTTGCCCCCCCTAAAAATATTTTTTATCTATTTGTGGGGCTTAAGTAATTTTTTAACCAAAATGTCACGTCATTCTAGAAAGGGCCCGGGGGGAGACATTAAGATTACACATGCCACTACGTTCCAAACTCCGAATTATTAGGTCTATACGATTAAGTTGTATCATAGTTTGGGGAACTTTCTGTTGAAAATGTGTCAGACTAAATTGAGAATATTGAATGAGTATAAGTTAAACATAATAATTATTGAACGAATTAATAAAATAATTTTGTACCGTTCTGTTAAAAAATGTGTCCGAGTTAATTGTATACATATACATGAACAGTGCGTTAACTGGAGTGCAGGTATTAGTTACTCCCACTTCAGAGCATTTCCATTGATTGGCTTATTTTTTGCTTGGGTTTACTTATTATGACGGCAGAGAAAGGGAAAGCGATGGAAATATCATATTTATTTTGCTCGTTCATTGGTTACTTTTTTTTCAAGCGTTTCATATTGTGACAACAGGGAACGTGTTTTTATGTTTGACTGTGATACAAAAGAGAAAGGGGCTACACCCCCTCGTACAAATCAGATAGCCTCGTGATTCAATGCTATTTCTATTACTTATCTTTAGTATTTCAAATGTATTCGAACGTCTGATGAACATATTTTAAATGAACTAAGATATGAACACATTTCTGAGAATATATATCATTGAAGACTTCTATGAGATTTAGGCTTCTGTGGCAGTGCCTAAACATTTTTATTTGCTAATCGTTAGTTGCTATCTGATGAAAAGGTTTTGTTGATCAAGTTAATATGAACTAAATTGACTGAATGTAAGTATGGTAAATGATTTGTACCATAAAACGATAAAGTAAAAAAGCAAACACAAATAAGGTTTCATTTTAATGTTAATTCTAATGCTATTCAGATACAGATAGTCGGTCAATTACTAATATATGCAGGCATCTTTTTCATAACAATATAAACGAAAAAGTGAGATAGAAAAAGATAATTATAACAATGCCTGCTTCTAAATTCCTTGACACGGAGCAAAAAATAAAAATAATCTTAAGAGGTTTCTTGGATATATATTTTTATATATAGAAAAGTGAGGTAGAGAAAATAAAACTGAATATTCTTGCTGATCATTAAGATTATACTGGTACACATGACAATAATATAAGATATCTGTTAGACTATTTTCGTGAGTATAATATTGTTACTATCTCAATCATATCGTCATTCAAACATATAACCAAATGAATCAATTCAACCAACTATTTCTCTTCAGTTATAATTTTGATTTGTTGACCGCAAGCTTCCTGAATTCTCTGTACTGTTGCTGGGCAATCAAGCCTGAAGTATCCAGTTATACCGATCTGCGCACGCGCAGAATGTATGGCTTCTTTTATTGCAGCTAGGACTGACAATGACAATATAAATGGCGGTTCTCCAACGGACTGAAAAAGTAACATTTTATGGTAAGATTGAAATCGTATTTCACTTTGTAAAAACAACAACATAGTACTAGTGTAAAAACTGATATATTAAAAGATAAACCAAAACATGAATTAAATAACCAAAAGCTTAACTTAATGTCATCAAAAAATATTTATTCCTTTTAATATTTCTGTGCTTTTTACTCCTTTAACAATGCTTTGAATACGAGCTATTTTAACATATTGGGTAATAATATATTATTATATATACATGTATATATGTACACACCTTTGAAGAATAGATATTTGTAACGATATCGTGATTTTTCAGCAATTTCACAATAAACTTTCTTGGAATACTTTTTATATTAGGTATTTTGTAGCCGAGTGGACTACAGGTGTTCAGACAACCCTTTTCATCTATCTCCATATTCTCCGAGGTAACCATACCTAATCCCTACAACAAGAAAATAAAATCGTTATCTCACAATGTACGAATGATTGAGTTACACAAACATGTCTTCTATAACAACAATATTACAATTACAAAGACAAGGATGTGCATTTAACCAGTGTACTTCATGTGTACTTCAGGAGAAAAAAGTTTAAAGTTCATACCTGCACAAACGCGCCTTCAATCTGTCCGATGTCAATTGTAGGATTTAAACTTTTACCACAATCCACATACAAGTTCGATTGGAGTACCTAAAATTATGAGATGTTTTATTTCGCATTATTTAAAATAAAGGTAATTAGTACTAAATTACATATTGATCCACATGACAATTGACTTGAAAAATGATAAATGCCTCCATGTGACTATGATCAGTAAGAAATTTGAAATTTCATCTAAATAGTTTTTAACGACCTATGGAGCGACAATTACAAAACAAAGAGTTTCCCCTCGTCACATGTTACTTCTACATCAAATTTTCTGTTTTGCTTTTTGTTTCATTAAATCCTTTTTTGCAACTTGTGATCAAGAATGTCATAATTGTCATTACTAATGTTCCTGCTTATTTTTCAAAATGAAGTTTTTCTCCACGATATAAGTATGTTAATGATACAGTTAAGATATGTGTTGAAAGATGTTTGTGTAATAGAGTTTTGTGTAATAAGGTTTATATTAATATAACTCACTTGGCTTTCACCTGTAAGCACATCAATCTCTACTTCAGAACAAGACACTCCATAAGTAAAATATTTAAAAAACCATCAGTTTGTGGACTGAAATAAAAGACATATTGGCATAGGATGGTTGTAGATCAAAATGTAAGAAAAAGCTGTTGAACAAGCAGTCGGTGGTCCTTATCAGATGCCCGATCGTGTTTGAAATATACAAAGAAGGCGGTAGTGGACCTACAGGCTTCCCTCACGATTTTAAAACTTTTAAAACGATTTTTTTCCTTTTAAAAGCCTTCGGTGTTTAAAAGTGTCGGTGTTTTAAATTTTTAAAATGAAAACATTTTTTGTGGCTCTACTGCCTTTGGGCCCTATTGAATTTTTACCCTTGGGAAATTTTTTTCCCTGTTTTGTGAAGATAAAATTTTCCTTTAAAAGAAAAGAAAATTTTACTTGGGATTATATTCCCAAAAAAAAATATAAAATTATTCAATTTACCTCCTTTTAGATTTTTTTTAAAAAAAAACGCAAAAATTAAACCCGTAAAATCCCGTTGCCCCAAATTTTGGGAAAAAATTTTGGAAAAAAAATGCTTTTAAAAAACTGAAATTTAAAAAATAATAAAAAAAAGGAATTTTATAACAGTGCGTTTTAAAATACTCTTTCATATAGCAAGCAGCCAGCGGAAATAAAACTTAAAACATAATTATGTAAATAGCTAGACAAAACCTTGCATAAAAACATTATAAATGCCGTTTGCTTAACGTCGAAAACATCAGAATAGCATCAACGAATATGTAACAGTTGCAGCTGTGAATCTCGTTTGATTTATCTTCACAGCTTTGCTCATTTTATTGACATTAATATCTAACATGTATGTGTGATAGTGTTATAAAATTGAAGTAATTAACTTATGAACAAAACCAAATAAATTGCTCTAAAATTTATGCTATCAAGCTTATGCTTCTTATCTTTTGACAGCTGCTACTATTTCTACAAATATTGACCTATTGTTTTCGTTGGCATGTCCCATTTATAAAATTGAACGTAGGTATAATAATGAAAAATAGTTAAAAAAAAAACCGAACCAGTTTCTCCCAATGTTGCATCAGGCCATCGCACTTTTCAAAGGAATAAGTCGTTTGTTTTTCAAAGTTTCACAAAAGCATCCTATATAATTCAAAAAAGCTATTTATTAAAACGAGTATAAAAATGTAACGTGATCTTTATTGCAATGTTTTGCATAAAGTGTTATTAAAAACTACAAGAATATCCATGAAACGTAATTTATTTTTATAAAATACGTTTAAACCAGTCAGTTTTATAATAATTAAATATAATCCCAAAATATTTCATTCGCCGATATCACATGCTTTAAGCTCATTGCAAGCTCATTGCAAGTCTCAAAATACACCCTTAAAAAACTTGAAGTATTTACGCACGTGCTACCTTCCAACGTTTAAACTTAATTGAAGTAAATACTGAAGTTTTAGATGTAACAATTTTTTAGAAGGTATTTCAAACACTTAATAATATTTCTTTCAAAAAAATATATATCGGCTGAAACAAATGTGACGATTTACCTATAATAAAGCAAACATTCTTTTTTGTATTAAAACTACCAGAAACTGCTTATTTGACTAGTAAAAAGTTTTGAATTTGCAAAGTAAGAAAAAACAAATAATATATACATTTAAAATTTTAAAGACATACAAAAACAAACATTTCTAATAGTTTTTAGTGTAAGAATAATAAAGACTTTTCATGAAAATCTTTAGTTAGTTCAATGTTAATTAACATACTATTTATACTTATAAGCTGTTTTATTATTAAATGTTTTCAAGATTTCTAAGTGAAGTATGTTCTCTTTGTTACAACACTACAAATGAATAAAAGTAAATGAAAACAAATTATATTTCTACACTAAAATATTTCAAAAAGTTATAATTCAAAATATTAAGACATCATTATTTTGATATTGATTACATCTGACACCTATATACGTTTGGAGATTCATCACAATCGTCATTTTTTTGCACGATTTTCTATAATACTCAATATATGACTAACAAGATCAACAAGGAAAGGCTGCGTTAAATGAATGCAACCCCAGCGACCCAGCAACAAGAACCAGTGGTAAGAGCCAAGGAGGACCCCATACAAAAACAGGACAGAAGGGGAAGGCAGAGCTCATCAAACTCATAACATAAGCAAAGTTTTTTTTACCTTTACAGCAGGTCCATAAAAGGTCTGTGCCCATGCTCGCAGCCGTAACCATGGTATTCGGAATTTCCCTTGTACTGCTACCGATCGTATGAATCTTTTCTTTAGGTATTCCCAGCACTCTTGATGCAATCTTAATACAAATTGTCGTGGCTTTATAAATGCTTTTTTGTTTGTTGTAAAATTCTAATCATAACTAAATATTTTTTAATGATAGTTCATTGCATAATTATATTTACATATTCATTAAAAATAAACAAAGGTTTATTTATTAATTTGTCAATGCTAAACGAAATTACATAAAACTCATCTTTTAATTTGGCCATTTGTTAAGATTGAAACAAGAACGCAACTACTATTATTAATTTAATTATGATACAAAATCCGAATATGTCATTTTTTTCTTTGTGTTATTCAAGTTTTGCCAGTATGCGATATTTTTATTATAAAATTCAATTTTTTTCAAATGATATCATATTTATTGCTTGTACAGTGCATGAACCATTTAATGTATTTCAAATGCATTATAATTTATGCACATCTTTTTATTATTATCGAGATAATGTGGAAAGGGTCAATTGTGTGGTGTTGTTAAAACTTATGGTTCAACCTTTTGCTTTTATGAACAACGACAGCATCCGTGTAAATACTGTACATTTATTTGACAATATTTTTTTCTTAAAATTACCTGTTTTTTGCACCAAAAAAAAAACAATAAAATAAAATTAAAAATAATTCTTTTTTTTGAAACTTAGAGCAAATTTTTTCTGGGGTTTCCCTACAAAACCTGTATAAACTTCGTAATTTAAAACCTTGTCCCTCTCTATGCCCCCATGAGCCAAACCAAAAAACCGAAACCCTCGGATTTAAAATTTAAAACGCGGCAAACCCTTTTTAAAAAAAATGCAAAAAAATTTCAACATTAAATGCTCCCCTTTTTTTTTTAAATAAATTAAAAACCTTTCTTAAATTAAAGGTTTTAATTTTTTCAGAACTAAGCCATGCAACAATTTTCAAGTACGGAAAAAAACACGGAAACAAACAAAAGCCATTGTCATAAATAGCAAATGAAAATTTCACTATCAAATTTTGGGAAGCGTAACAACATGGTTTCTTTAAACAAAAACAACCCAACAAAATAACAAATAACGTACATAACGCAGAATTACGAAATTAGACGTATTTATGCAATAATAGAGCTAATGTACATGTTTTAGTGCATAAACATCTACAAAAGCCCACAGATCAATTAACTGACTAATAAAATTCCTCGACAAACGGTCTCCATAACGCTGTTAATGCACAAAATGCAAGAATAAAAGTGCGTTGACCCTCTAATGTTTTCATTCCTGATTTGAAAGGATATGCCAGAACACAATTTCTGTACAGAGAAAGTGAGAGAGCTACAACATTACCATGATTTCTTTAAACAATAGTAAAACTTGTTTTACAGTAACAATTAAATTCCTAATAATAATCTATACTCTTGGTAAAAAACCATTACGTTATTATTGTTTCTGACATTGTACTTTGTTATTTTGATATTTGATATTATTCTAATTGCCCTTATGAGTTTGATTATTACAAGGATATCTTATATATCTTACCTGGTTCATAAAAGACAAGCCAATTCCATATTTAGAAGCCGTCATTGCAATGCCTCTTTTCTTCCATTTATTGTTCCTATATGACAAAAATACAATTAAAGATACAATTAAAACATGTTGTTCTACATGTTCTAGGAAAGAGACAAATTGAAACAATTTGGAATAAGTTAAACACTTATACGAAAGGAAACAATAATTATGTACATGTCACGGTTTAGAACTGTTTACTATTAAGGGGAGAAGGAGCGGTTGGATAGCTCAATCGGAAGTCATGGAATGGTATTCCGAGGGTCCAGTGTTCGAGTCTCGGTCAGGCTGCACATTATTTTCACCCTGTGGCATTTGGCGCCAATGGGCCGTGAAGATATAGCTTAGAGTTTAATTTACATTGCTTCATAACCCTGATAAATTCAAAGCCGATTTTAAATATTGCGGGGGAGTAAGTCACGGTTTAGAACTATTCACTATTTATGGCAGACTATGTCGGTAGAGACGCGGAACAGTATTCCAAGGGTCCCGGGTTCGAGTCTCGGTCAGGCTGCACATTTTTCTCACCCTATGATATTTACCTTGCCTGGAAACCAGTCTTTTAAGTTTTTATTAAAGCTTTTATACCCAAACACGGCTTAATGCAATATACAAAAATATAACGAATCCTTACAAATACCTTTTATCACAGTTAGGAACCTTAAAATACATACTTGTTGAACTGCTCAATGTCTTTAAGTCGATTTTCATAAGCACTATCAGATTTACATTTATCCCATAGCTCAGGTATAGTGCATTTCACAAGTTTCATTCCATATGGTGTAACGTTTCCCTCTTGACATAGGCTCATTTCGCGAACCTGTGACATTTATGTAATCATCCTTATAGTTAACGACTTAAGAATCACATTTTAAAGCGTGTAAAAATCGGTAACACTTCACTCATGTGAAAGAAGTTTCAAATGTTAAGTGCTCAAATGTAAGTATTTTTACGGGCTCATCTACAACCTTAAATTTGATTCGAAATCTGTAATGGTGACAATTACTTTCCTGAGGTTGATACACTTTAAATTTGGTAAATATGCTGATTAATCACATGTTTGAAGAGCTTATCAAACAAAATATTAATATACACATATACATGAGACCACATGTGATCGTCTGACGTTTCATTATTTTTTATGTTGAATTATGTTTTTTGAAATTAAAACTTTTTGTAAAGCAACTTTGAGAAAACTAATAAGTATATCAAATCACCTTTTCTGAACTTATGTTTAGCTTATTTGCAATTTTGAATACGACATCTTCCATGATGGCGACAGCTTGCGGATGACCAAAGCCCCTAAATGCTGTGTTTGATGGACAATTAGTTTTGCACAAATATCCTTCTATTTTAATATTTCTAACTCTATAGCCTGATTCAATAGACTTTATTGCCACGTCCATAACCTGAATAAGAACAGTGTATACATATTAAGCATAAACTATTACCCAGTTTATTATTACGTTACAGATTGCGCTCCTCTCCTTTTGGACTTTTGGTCATTTAAAAACGTAACCTACATTATTTGTTTTCTAAAATGGATTAGTTCAGGTTCTATTTTATAAACTGTTTACTTATTATTTTTGAGACAGTAAACCAAAAAGTAGGAATCTAGTCTGAGTTAGTCTGCTCTGCGTTCAGGAAGACTAGGGCTTATTATATGCTACGTGGTATATTTTATTACTCAGTTTTAATAATAAATAATACAAATTAGGCACTACGTCAGAACTTAAATGAATCACTGTATACCTAATTTTTTGAGCAACTGTTGTAATATTAACATGCTTATATAACATGTATTATGCCCAGTTCGTCTACACTTCCATGCAGTAGTTTGTTTCACAAATCAATGAAGGTATATGTCTATTATTAGTATTTCAAATTGTGCATAGTTTAGGCTTGAGGACACATACATGTAGTTACATGCATTACTTGGTAACACACAGTCAAGGTTTTAGCAAAGTTTAGCCATTATGTGTTCTATTTGAATGGTTCAAGAGAAAAAGTTAAATATTAAGATATAGTACTGTAATGCATAATAAAAAGTTACTTATATTGATATAATTTTCTCATTTTAAAATTAACATGGCACTGCAAAAAACTGAAAAAAATATGTTTTTATGTATACTTTGGAATACAAAATTCCTTACCAGGCTAGAAACATCTAAACTATACCCAGCATTGCTGTAAAACTTGATATCTAATGCATTGATGATCCCTTCTTTGCTGAAACCAACCTATAATTATAACAAATTAAACACACGTCGATTAAAGAATTCAACACTTTAAAGTCTGTAAAATGATCGACGTTAAATATGTAAATTGATGCATATTGAATACATGATCCGAGATCAAATTTAAGAAAATATTTCGACACGTCCGAGTATCAAACCATCAACCTCCTGATTACTAAGCCAATGCTCTCCCTATAAGTGAAGCGAATGAATTATACCTTATACTTCCCTAGGAATGGGTGTCTTTTCCCAGTAACCATCATGTTTGTCGCCCTAGGTAAGACACAACGGACAGGTCGTTTCATTCTGGAAAAACAGGAAGGTGCAAAAGTAAAGACATGTAGTAAAGTATCATACTGCGTATTATATTTTGCACGTTCAGGAAAATATATAATTATAAAAAGATCATTTTCATAGAAAATCAAAACTGTTTATATATACGTTTTGCAGTTGTGTTTTTAACAAGATAGTATTTATCAAATACCAATTTTCTGGAACATATTATAAAATGTAGGTGAACGCTGGTTATCAAAACATATTTGAAAACCAAACCGAAGCTTTTTAGATTGCAACGTATTTAATAATGAAAACATTACAGATCTGCCGACAAGACAAAATTGAAAATGTTACAGTCTAAAAATATTTGAGCATGTTCATGGACGATATTAACGCACCGTCCAGTACCTTCCTAGCACCGGCGTTATGTATTTTCAATCATGCAGATGTTTTTGTACTTGCATATGTCCGTGTCTTATCAATATTAAATATGATCTTAATGATATCTAGCGATTCATGTTCTTGTCATTTTAATGAAGTTTAAATTTAATAAATGATAAATATAGATTCAGTTGCTTCCATTTAAAAGAGCTTTACATGAAACAAATAAATTATAGCTCGTATATTACTTATGCGCACCAACAGCTGCCGCACCTGCTGCCATCATAACTTGGGCCTCTTTACCTCCGAAAGCACCACCTGAAATGCATTTGAAGGTTTTAGGTTTTTCAAATAACGGGATAATCATGCGAGAGCAAAACTCGGTTTTATTATGTCTGTTCATAAGTAATAATTAAATGTGAAGTCCCATACACGCTTCCCAACTAGCCATGGCATAAGCAGTTTTCAATCGTCAACACTAAAAATAGTGGAAGTAATGCACGATATAACACAACTAAAACGAAGCACGGGTCAACTTTGTAACATAGCATTGCACACTTACTAGTGAGATTTATAACTCTGTAAAAAAGGAAACAGAAACAAAAGAAAGGTAACACTCGATCCCACTGAGATTGTTCATAAGATACACCAAAAATAGTTAAGCATCTTTCAAACCTAAAAGCCATGTCATACTTAATAATTAAGACTTAGTGTTAACCAAGTGACTGTTTAAATGGAACTCCATTGGTTTAAGATTTTTACAAAGATCAACTGGGGAACTTAAAACGAAACAAACTATGCAAAATATAATAAATTTAAAAAAAATAGAATAAAAACATAGTCAGAATTGAATTAATTTGGAAATCGTTATTTGTCTGTACTCAAAGCTTAGCAAAATATTTTAAATGCGTTGCATTATTAAATCATTTTCACAGTAACAATATTTGTTGGTAATTCAGTTTGCAAGACTACGTTCAATGTTTGATATAAAATAAGATCTGAGATAGTGCAGGTACAATTATGTACCCAGTAAACTCCACTTATAACAAACATATTTGGCCATTTAAAATGTGTTCCTTATATCCGAAGTTCCTTGTAAGCATATAGCGAATAAGTTCCTTTTAAAAGGGAGTTTTTATAGCGAACAAATTTACATATAACGAACTGATTGTTTACAATCGTCGGCCATTTTTAAGAGCATTTGATTCAGAAAGTTTAGTCATTTATTTCTTTGTTAGACACAATACCCGAGAGCGCACTTTTTTGAATTTGAAAATCCTTTGTTATTTCAGTTTTAGTTTTATTCCCTTTCTAAATTTCTCATAAAATATCACATTCATTTTGTTTTTTAAACTCAGTGTTTTCGTTTTCTTTCCATGATTAAGAATAAACAAGATTTTCAACTTTTCCTTCCTTTTATTTTGAATATCTTCTATTATATTTTAAGGATGACTTTTAGTTATGAAAGATATAGATTTCTTTTTATTTAAAAGCAAGCGTACTTTGTAATTTTCAATGGACTGTGCTTGCAAGCATGCGTGATTATGTTAAAAAACCGATTATAAATGATCATAATAATTTTACTCGAGCAAAACTATCTATGAAAAGAAATAATAGTTTAAAAGGAATAACCGTTTTATCTTGGTGACAAGAGCTCATGCTAAAAATATTTTAAATGGAAAACTATTACGTACTGCTATACAAATTCATTTTCATAGATGTATTGGAGTACATACAGCAATAAACGGTACAATCGGCCGAGTTGAAAATGCGGATAGCCGATATTTTGTTATAAAAGTGTAATTGTCTGTACTTTTAACTAAATTGGGACTGAGAAATGAGTTCCTTATAAGCGATAATTCCTTATAACTGTGTTCGCTATAACCGTTTATTTTTATATTAAGTAAAGACGGGCAAAATTCGGGCCAAAATAAATTGTTCCTAATAACCGGAAGTTCGCTATAACCGTGTTCGCTATAAGTGAAGTTTACTGTATAAGGGCCATTATTCTGTCACAATCCATGGGGAGCCTTAGAGAATGACCTCCTATTATGCCCTCAAATCAGTGTGTGAAGTTTTAACCCATTCTCCTAAGTAGATTTTACATGATACCAACTTCCACAAAAAGAACTAAAACAAAATGTAAAGCCGACGCAAGCATAAGTTCAATAGTTTGAACGAATTATTCGAGCAGTCAAACGAAAATGTATATTCTTAATAAAAATGAGTATTCTGTAAAATTGGAGTAAGGCACTGAAATGGACTAGAATGTAACACATAAGTTACTTGTCCAGACCATCATATATGTTAAAGAGACAAGAATAAATAAATACATTTATATTGATGTTACCATACATTTTACTTCAACAATCATCTACGTATTTCAACTTGAGAATGATAAGTAATATCTCGTGACCATTGCCAATTTATCAAAAAAATGTACTTACCAAGGCGCTTTACTCTGCATGTTATTTTATGATGAGCAACATTCAAAAGTTCAGCTATATCGGCTTGCAATCCTTTAAGGTTTTGAGTTGTTACATCGACGTCCATTTCCTGGTTTTCTTTTGGTATGACCAGTGCGGCGATTGGCTCAAGGTACAAATGCTCCTGAACATGTTCAAACATAAATTTGTTAAGCAAAAGAAATAATATATTAAATTATATGAAATACACATTTGCCAAAAACAAAAGTCCGGGTGAGAGGTTTTATTTATTTTAAACAATGATATAATGGTTTATGTATTTTTGTCAAATATAATCAAAATTGTTACTGTTATAATAATATGCTATACACATATTAAAAAGTGTACCAGGGTATGATTTTAAATTTATTTCCTTTTATTTAAATAAATAGTCTTAAAGATATGTCATGCATAAACTTGATATTTGAAATAAAAGTACTGATAATTACTATACAGGTAAAATAATCTTTTGAATACACACAGACAAGACAAGATATGTTTATACGAGTATATTAAACACAGTTCGCTTGAGGTAATTACAGTATGATTACACAATTTCATTTTTTTAAATGTCAGTTTTGTTTATAAGATATATACCAAATCAATTTGACAAGAAAAAGGAAATGCAACTTCCCAAACATGATTTATATATTCACAAATTCGAAAAATATATTCAAGAAGAATCTACTAGATTTTAATAAAAATCCTCAAATAAAAGTATTTTACCCAAAGATGAACATATTATATCTTTAATTAGTTAATTTGAAGACATACTGATTTAGATTTTTGTTATTTTACGGTTGCTTCTATTGCAATATCGATTGCTGATATTTTTAACGTTATCTTCGTTTTTTCTGTATAGCTACAGTTTAAGTGTTTTAACATAAAAGACGTACCTGTAATCCAGTTTGATATTCGCCTGAAATTACAATGTCAGACTCGGTGAACCCTTTTTCTACGTCTCCATCTACCAGTACTTGTGGTTCGCCATAAAAAGAATTGTTCTCTATAGCATCCTGTTTAAATATTCAATCCGAATTGTAAATAGCGTAAATCATCATAAAATGGTTCTTTTACATTTACATATCTGTTTATCAGTTGAAATAAGTCACCATAAGTAGTAATAAATAACAAAATCTTGTGCTTTGTATTAACTTACAGACATAGTTGTTCAGGCAATCATAACTGCTCTCGAACTCATATAACAGTCTTGTATAATAGTAATATGTTTAATGCTGATGTCTTTTTAAACAATACCTTTATTTTTTCAAATATGATTTATTTCCCGCTGCATCGGACTGCATCCATTGTAAAATCAGCTAGAATTATAATGTATGCAAGAATCGGGCTCCTTGTTTCTATGACATGTTGAGTTTTTGTTGTATTTTGAAAATAAAAATAGTTTTATTGTTTAGATTGTAACATACTCATTTTATGCGCTTTAAGCCTTCCATAATATAAGAAAGTATTACAAATGTAAAGGGCCTACAGTTACATCGTTTACATTTCTATCAAGGACAAATATTGTGATTGTAACCATGCATACAATCTAAGTTTGTCACTTAGTACTGAACGTTTAAGTTAAATAATGTTATACTTTAAACATTGTACCTCTATTGTTAGTATAGGCTTCATCTCCTCGTACAGAACATTCACCAAGGACACAGCTCGTTGTGCAACTTCTCTGGTGTCGGCAATGATTGCTCCGATTGGCTGACCAAATGCTAAAATCTTGTGACAGAAAAACATCAGAAATTATAGAAATACAATAATACATAATGACAAACGATCTTAATACCGATCAGCAAGAAATTTCAAACTATTTACTTACTTGGTAAAACAAAAATATAAAGTAGAATTCAAATTAATAAATATGGCTATCTAATTATTAAATTCTTTGAGTTTACAACTTGACAGATATTCATAAGACAATATACCACTGTTTGCAGCATTTTATACATAGTGATTCGGGTTTTTAAACTTAAAGGGAAAGACAAGGTTAGAATTAAAACTTGATTTCAGAAAAAGAATACTTTAAATAATAACTCTGCAAATTTTCTGCCGCCAAATAATAATATTAAACGAATGATAACAAAATTTAAATCGCTAAATCACCGATTTCTACAAATCAGTAGGCGCGGCCATGTTTGTGTATTGGCCGTATAAAAACAGGTGCGTGTGATGTCATTTCCCCACATCTTTAGATTTATGATAAATCTAGTTGAATCGTAGCGAAATATTAATATAATAATGTATTGACCAGACAATTTAATTTTCACAGGAGGTGTAGAAGAGATTTTTATGGTTCAAAAAACGTAAAAATATCCTAAAAAAATATAAATAAAATAAAGAAACAAATAAAAAATCAACGTCTACCGGTCGCACCACTTCAGGCCAGTGATGCCCGTTACTCCAAACAATGCTATGTTCATTAAAGTCTCATCTTGATGTAATTAAACAATATTTCACAGATTTAATAAATAAACATGTTATTATTTAAGAAAGTTTCACAATCAAATAATGCAATTAAATAAACAAACGCACCAAGGAATAATTGGCTGTTAATTATTGAACGGCGATAATTATCATTATTATAAAAATCCTACTAAAACGTGTTCTTAATAGTACATGTAATTAAATTTTTGCAGTTTGATTCTGACTTTCAAATTGAAAGGTGTGAACATATGTTATAATTGATGTACACATTTCAAAAATATAAGCAACCCTTTTGAAAAGTAAATTGTTAACATGTCTGTCAACGTGTGATGCTGCGCATCGTAATCGTAACCTAATATTTACTGCAGGCAAAACATTTTTATTGGCTGCTCAAAAATCTAATTTGCATAATTTATTCACACAATTGCTGGTTCTTACTACTTATGTCTAATACTATGCATTGTCCATTTTAATTGTTCCTAATTTGCACCAAATGTTCCTGTCACACTGTGTACTGACGATTTTTATTGCTCCTTGTATGCCCCTGTGCCGACAGACCTTTTGATCATGCACAATGTTGCCCTGATTGGTTAATCACCCTTGTCAAATATTCTAATGATGAAATAGACATCTATTTTTTTTTAAGCTTCATCAGTGAACTGAATGACCTTAGGGGAAATTAAGTTACACACGTGTCAAATTATACTGTAAATTACAGCATTTCATCAAATAGCAACACATTTTTTTTCAGTTACCAATAATCATTTTAAATATTAAGTAGATTTATGATTTTTTATTGGATTAAAGTTACGGTAGTAGAAATGCGTATCTGTGTGGGAAAGGGATTGGGTAAGTAGATAACGTGGAAAAAAGCTATAGGGAACTGGATAAACCCGAGAATATGCGTAATTACAGGGAATGGGCAACCTGTTGCTGTTGGTACCAGTTTTGACTGGGTGCCTAAATAACTTCTAACTGACAGTTTTGTTTTCATACGATATTAGTCTGGCTGCCGATTTTCCTGCGCCATTCTCATTTTTAGCGTCAATGGCGGAAAATCGCGTCCTCAGCAGATCTCCGCATATTGGTTTTAGTTGATATTTTACGCTGAAAAAAAGATACATGACCGGCGATGTACCTTATTCGGACAGCTTGTTTAGCGAAAATTAAGTACAAAATAAAAGGATATATCGTCAATTTGAAGAAGTTTCTCACAGTACCCAAATTAAATTGATGATTTATCTTTGAAAATTAAGCAGTCAATGCTTAAATCATGTGGTGGGATCATCAGCAAGCTTGAAAATCGGACAAACGATAATTAATGTCGCGGCGTCTTCAATTAATTAATTAAAGCAATTCAGTTCCATATGATGTTTTCATAAATAATATATGATATACGCAATAAGATTAATAAGTTCTTCATCAAGATATATTTCAGTTGTACCAGCGTGTACACTTATACCGGAAGTGGGTGTAACACGTCACAATCTCGGTCTCGTCTGTCTCGCGAGAATGACAGAACGCCAAAATGGCGGCGCCCATGAACTTATTTCTCAAGTAAAATATAGTGTCTTAAAACACGAATTTCTCACTTATAGGATTGATGTTAACAGAAAAACTGTCATGGTACCTCTTTTTAAATGATGAATATTTATATTAGACAGACATCAATCCATCCATTCCTATTCCTTTAAACACTTGTCCTCTTTTGTCATGTGTCTGAATTCCGCCTAATGCTGAGATTTGAATATCATGTAAAAACAGTAACCATGAAGCTTAGGTTGACAAACTGGAACTGCTAAAGAACGCCCAAAACGACAAAATTGAAAATGTTGTGAAAGATCGGTTTTATTGAGCCTGTTCATGGACGGTACTGGAAAGTAAAAATGATCGTCTAAGCCTACTTCCACCGGCTAAAGCAAACGTTTTCCTCCATTTAGCATTGACACAAAAGCCGACATATGATCGTTACAGTATCAGAGTGACTGGTTTACTTATTAATTATAAACAATAGGAACAAAACGTACTTCTCCTGAACTGAAAACCTCATGATCTGGTAGTAAAATACCAAACTTGTTCCTTCCAGGGATGTCTGTGTGATCAATATATCCATGAACACCTTCAAGCTTCAAGGCTTGTGTTGTGTCAACCGTTGTAATCCTCGCATGTGCTACTTTACTTAGGACAAGGGCGGCAAATAGCTCATCTAAATATAGTGTTATATTGGTGATTTCATTTGAAACTCCTTTAGTAATTTGATGTGATTATTATGCGCTATTTTTGGGTTTGTCAATAGCATACCAGTTAGACAAAATGTAATACAATAACTTAACTTGTATCAATAAAGTGATGTTTAGCCCTTTAAATCAAGATATTCTTTTTACTTTTGTTATCTTAAGTCTACCTGTGTTAAAGGTTATATAGCGACTTTCATACTTTACTGGCGGAGAAAACCCAATTGCCCTTCCAGGTATTATTTTTGGATCGGGTGGGTACCTGGTAAGAACCACTGACAAGCTAGCTGAATAGAAGTTACGTTTACAACGAATTTCTAATTGTATTCCTCATTGTGTTTAAACCTTATTGTCGAGCGTAACGTAATGCCATTGGAACAACATTATATCGGATAAAACCCATTCACAACAAGATTGCATTTGAGAAAAATGCTATGCCACCGCATGGTTCAAATTTCATAGCTGTACATCAAAGGACAAGAAAGTAGGTCACATCATCAAAATCTAGGTCACCTGATATCAAAGTTCAATTTTACAACTAAAACTGTGCACGTGGTCAAAATGTCATTGCTGTACATCAAAGGACAAGAAAGTAGGTCACTGTCCCCTTGGGCAAGGCATAATTTTGACCCAAGGGTTTAATTAAAAACAATTTTGATACAGGTCCACCAAATAACATTTCAAGTCAAATATCTAAGCTATAGCTTTCTCCCATTCAGAAAACATTTGTTTTATTTTCTGTTTTTACTATGTGTACATAATGAGAATCACTGCCCCCGGGCAGGGCCAATTTTGACACCAGGGGAAAATTTTGAACAACTTTGGTAGAGGACCTATAAATGATATTATATATCAAACATCAAAGCTCTATGCCTTGTACTTTCAGACAAAAATATTTTTCATTTTTTCACTATATGTACATAATGAAAATCAATGACCCCAGGGGTGGGGCCAATTTTGACCCCAGGGCTATAATTTGAACAATCTTGCAAGAGGTTCACTACACAATGTTTCATGCAAAATATCTTAACTCTAGCCTTTGTAAATTTAGAGAAGATGATTTTTTAAGTTTTTACTATATACATATAAGGAAAACCTATGGCCACCGGGGGCGGAGCTAATTTTGACACAAGAGGCAAAATTTGAATAACTTTTGTAGAGTACCTTTAGATGATATTATTTAACAAATATTAAAGCTCTAAGCCTTGTACCTTCAGACAATAAGATTTATTTATTTTTTACTATATGTATATATTGAAATCAATGACCCCAAGGGTGGGGGCAATTTTGACCCCAGGGCTATAATTTGAACAATCTTGCTAGAGGTTTACTACACAATGTTTCAAGCAAAATATCTAACCTCTAGCATTTGTCAATTGCTAGAAGAATTTTTTTTGAAGTTTTTACTATAAGTTTTTACTATATACATATAAGGAAAACCAATGACCTCCGGGCGGGGCCGATTTTGACCCCAGGGCTATGATTTGAACAATCTGGGTAGAGGTTTACCAGACAATGTTAATGCAAAATATATAAGCTCTAGGCCTTTTGGGTCTTTACAAGAAGGTGTTTTAAGTTTTTACTATATGTACATATAGTGAAAATCAATGACCCCGGGGCGGGGCCGATTTTGACCCAAGGGCGATAATTTGAACAATCTTGGTAAGGGTCTACCAGACGATGCCTTATGCAAAATATCTAAGCTCTAGGCCTTTTGGGTTTTTACAAGAAAGATTTTTTAAAATTTATTCTTATAATTCCTTTTGGTTGCCATGGCAACCAGATTTCTGCATGGAATAAAATTCTTTGAACAACTTTGGAAGCCCTTCACCCAAGGAACAATCCTGCCAAGTTTGGTTGAAATTGGACTAGTGGTTTTTCACAAGAAGATTTTTTAAGTTCACTATATAATCTATATAACACACACACAAACACACACACACGCACACACACACAGGTGAATCGCTATATGCCACCGCATCGCAGATGCTGCGGTGGCATAAAAACAAAAACGAATTTCAATTCTGTTAAATTGAATGTGTTCTCGTTATGCATGCAGTAAACCATGTTAAGGTATAATATTAATTAAACTAAAACTATACTTTGATGCACTGGTAGGTCATCAACATAGATGGCTTCCCCTGACACGGCAGCTTCCGAATGGACATTAGGTACAGTTCTCCCTAAAGCATCGCTTTCTGCTTGATCTTCACCAGTGCACGGGTCGAACACCTGAGTGCTACTGTAGGGTGGTAGAGAAACTGGACGGCTTAGACTATAGTCTTGTTCGTGCAGCTGTTAAGAAAACAATAACTTTACGAATATATTTTATATAATAAAATGAGGTGAACAGATTAATAGTTTTAATGGATATTGTCTTAAAGAAACTGACGTAAATGCATTCTATAAAATGCCAACGTTCGTTCATCTTCCATTCAGAATGCAAATATCTGACAAAAAGTGAGTGGCTAATTGATCCATCCTTAAATTTGCAAGGTTATGTTCTTGTTTTTATGCGATACGTAATAAAATAATGTTCTCTTTATATATGTTACGAACATGTTCACTTCAGTCATGCAATTTCCTGATTGATAAATATTTCAACATGTCTATATGTTTTAATATCTTATGATACTCAGTGTGTAATTTGATGACTTTTTTAGTATGTATTATAACCCTCACAAAACATCAAATGTATGAATTGTGTATCTTCATTCTTTTCGTTAACGACTCACCTGTAATTTAGCTTGTACTAAGTTGAAAAATTTAAACCATAAGGCTGATGCCACCGAAACCTTGTATGTATCTACAGTACGACCGTTGTCAATGCTAAGGTTCTCGCTTATCACAGCCAGAATATCATGAAGTAAACTGTCATCAAATTTTCTACAACATGAAATCTTTGTTTTGAATAAAAAAAAATTCGGAGTAAAGGGCAAATAGGTTACATACAGACATGTAGCGTAAAAAACTACGTGACACAATTTATTTTATCTTTGCATGATCTTAGTTATGACAGTAGAAGAAATATTAAGAAAAAACAAGAAACAACAAAGGTGTGTCACCGACGTCCTTAACCTAAATCTTCCCCATATGTTGAACCTACGATGGGTTATTGTATAAAAGTTGCAGTAAAATATTGTTATTAATGATGACCTTTGTCCGCTCAAAGTGTTCAAATCTATTACCACTTGCTAAAATTTTACTCACGGAAACGATTTATTCAATTTTTCAAAGTATTGAGACAAGCTTTGAGTAAGGTTTTAGTCATATTTAACATTTAATTTAATAGACTCGATTGCTAAGAAGGAGCATGCAGTCATTGCATAAAACATCAAAATATCAAATGAAAAATAAAGCACATTGTTGGCTTTATTTACTACTGAATCCTATTGTACAACTGTAGAAAACCTATCAAATATATTTCAATAAATTCTAAGACAATTTAAATGTTAAATGTTCTATTAAGCAGCATAGCAAGAACAAGATTAGTACAAATACAAACCTTCCAGCTGCAACTGAAGTTACTTTGTCAATAACCTGTTCTTGTTTGAAAATGCCACCATAGCATAACCTAAATAAAAACAATAGTTGATCGACAACGAAGGAGACAGTTTATTTACAAATCTGTCTTTGCTTCAAAATGAACAAAAGCCTTTTTTAAAGTTTGATTTATCATTAGACGGCTAAAAAATCCCAGCTTTGTTTTTACTGAAGCATATGTTTTAGGAGTCCTCGTGATCATAGCTTAAAGAAAAGAGAAAATAAGAAACCACAAAGAACGACCACAATGGTGAAATTTAAAATGTTACAGGTTTGGCTTGACTGAGCCTGTAAATAAACGATACTGGTACCTGCAAGCCACTGTCCACTCTTTAGCATAAATTGAAACATTTGGAATTAAGAATCATTAGCAGATAATACAAAGAATATCCCTTTTTATTAAAGACCCTGTATGTTGTAAATATGGTTGTAACAACACTTCTGAATCAGTGAAATTCTATATGTGTATATCATTATACTTCTAAAACAATTTCAAAACATCCAAAAAATATGTTAAATATGTACCGCAAATGTTTATACGCATTAGATGTAATCTTTAAAATTATATTGAAAAAATTGGCTAAGACCTTATCGAAAATGAATTTGATATTGGAATCTACCTCCCTTTATTTACATGAAATGTAAATTTGGTAATATCTTTACAAATAATGCTTTAAGGAACTTACATTATTGATAAATCTTCATATGAGCATTATATTTATGATATAAAACCATAAGAGAAATGAGTTACAGATCTTTTAGATATGTGGTCTAGAGAATTTTGTACAATCAGAATATTATCTTAGAAACAAATATTGTCATAAAAAGATGCAATCATAACGCGTATTTATATAAATCATCACATTTATTCTGCCATTTTAGATATGATAGTGATTTTTTTATTTCATAATGTTATATTATAATATAAAATTGTCATAATCTTATTCAACATTACTGTTGTTTTTATGTCTGTTGATACATTGTCCATACATTTTACTTAAACATATTTGTAAATCGATAACAACTTATTGATGATCAGAAATGTTTTGTTATGTTTGTCTTTGGACAGATAAGGATTGATTCATAATTTTAATTTTCCATGTAAAGGTCATTAGCAATTTCATTATGAAATCCTACCAGCCCGACAAAGTGTATCAAATTTAAGTACTGTTTAACACTTCTCTCCAGATGAAAAACGGTTTCCATGAACAGGCGCAATCAAACCGAGTCTGCAACATTTTCAATTTTGTCGTATTGGGCTTTCTTTAAGGATTCTTAATTAATTGTTTTATTTTATCGCCACATCTGCGTTGTGTGTGCCGTAAGGAGGCTGAAAAAGTCGCCTCGTACATTAAATCAAAGATGTTATATTTCCGATCCTTAAAGATCGTTCAGCACGATATTATTGATGTGCTTGTGGTATTTTTAGTTTTAACTTTTCGGCATTTTCTATTTGTGTGGTTCCAATATTCCTACTTGAATAATGTTGAATCCCCCTTTGGTTATGTTGCCTGCTTTTTAACTTTGTCTTTTGACGTCTTATCTGTTATATGCAAGCTTCATATCCTCTGATTCCCTTTCAAAATTCCATTTTATTTAGTTCCACCCATTGTTTCTGTTAGGGCGCCTTTCTATTACTTGGACCATAGCTTTCATGAATGGCACGGAATGCACATTGAAGTTCATGATGACGCCGTTCACATCTGGGATGTTAATTCAATTTTTACTATTTCATGTTAAATGTTGAATTCTCTTAAGCCGGTGCTAGGGGGCGTGAACAATAGTTTGCACTTTACAGTACCGTCCATAAACAGGCTCAATCATACCGAGCCTGCAACAGTTTCAATTTTGTCGTTTTTGGGCTTTTTTAGGGATTCTTAATTATTTTTTCTATTTTCTATTTTAACATTTCATACCGGACTTTTAAATTTAAAAAATACCTAACTTAAATAACGATAACATATTCAAACAGTCCTTTTTGTATACAGATGATATACAATGTTTACCTTAGAGTTTCGATCGTATCATTCTTTGGACCCATCTTTACAAACATCCCAGCATTGACAATTGCCAGGGAGAAAGATCTCCTTTCCGACTGCTTGTAGAAAGCACTAATTTCATCCTATAGTATTTACATATTTATATTAGTATCATGCTTGTATCGATTATATTAATTGCATTACATTGTCTAAGCAAAGTAATCTTTTAAAAACTATTTAATAATATTATAAGCTTAATATATTTGTATATCATCAATTTACGCATCTTTATATACGTTAAAAGATTAATATCACCAGAGTGTCTGTAAAGTTAGAATAATCATTAAACAGCTGATCAGAGACAATCACTCTCTTTCTCATAAGCTTATTGAAACAGTATTTAATTATCCGAATAAAACCAAGTTTTGACGTTTCGTTGCTGAAACATACAATTATAGCATTGTAATTGGAAAAAAACAATAAACCATGATATAAAATGATATTTTCTCTATTCAAGATTACACGCGCTTATTTTTAACGCATAGATATATATTGTAAACGTATTTAATGCTACCAGATACATCTGTGTCACATTATAATTATCATTGATCATAACACATTGCTGAAATTGCAAAAATAAATTTAATTATACCTTTGAAGCCAATGGTATGTGGATTCCAGTAATGACTTCACCATCCTGTATACTGAGATCGTTCAAAGGCACAACCCTTGACCGTTTTACTTCAATGGAAATATTCATATCTAGTTAACAACTTCTTGAAGTATACGGTGTTTAGAGTTTTAACATATCTTGAAGAAAAAGTAAACTTTCAGCTAATTTTCTGCTAGCTACTAAAGCAATGTTAACAAATAATGAAATGTTCCGGATTAATTTGGTTAATGTTGCAACAAGACACTTAACTTAATATGCAACGAGTCTTGATCTCGGGAAACAACATGTTAATTTCATATTATTACATTCTTTCGCATATAAATTTAAGGAGGACATTTCATTTTTTTTTTCAAGTATTCAATTTTCTTTTACTCAGTCTTAATTACAAAATCCGTTTCATGTGATCAGTGGCGACAGTTTGAAGTTTCTTCAAATCTATAATATCAGAGCAAGGCAATTATTGATCACGTTACAGTTTTCATTGTATTAAAAACCTATTTATCTGTTGCCGCCTGAATATACATACACTTATTGTATGACGGTGCCGGTGAGTATCACATAAGGCAGGTCCGAGACTTGGACATTTACCAAAATCGTCATACAATTAATTTTGTTTATATGATTACATTACAATTCTTCAATTTGGTAGGTTTGGTAAATCGAACCTGTCCGATTTTTCTATTTAATTCCTAAATAAGCGGACGAAAAGAGCAGAAGTTGTTTTTCAATATACTCCAGACAATGCAATTTTAAAGCAGTTAAATGTTCATAAGAAAGCACAGCTAAACGTTCTAGTTTATTTTTGTATACTAGACAGAACAAAAACGCTGTCTGAATCTAAAAATTAAACGTAATATTTGTTTGAGGGTAAATTGTTTTGATTGATCAACTGGTACCATATATACCGTTTAGTGATTAATACTTGGTTTGTAATAATAGATGATTAAATTTAGCGCCATTCTTTATCTTTATGGCGTTATTAAATTGTTTGCTTTGAACAATATCAACATGCTCATATCCCTTCTTATTGACTGTCAATCTCATCGCCTAGAAATTGACAGTCATAATTAACTATTTTATCCTAACCAAAATTCATTTGTAACATTTGTTGAGTGTTTAAAGGCATTTATTTTGAATAATAAACCTAACGTAAGAATTGCCTTCTGGCTGACAAACAATATATGTTTCGTAAAACTGTTTAGTTATGTCTTTATAATGTTTACGTCATATAGGTTTTAGCTATTATAACTTTTATTTATGTAATAGTCATTCTGATAAAAAGAGAGAGAGACAGATATTTACAATCTTATTTGAGTCACAATATCTTAGTTTATTTTATATTAAAATGTCATTCCAGCTTGTAAAACAAAGGCATTGTCTTTAATGCATACAGTGATTTATAAGTTTATAAACCACTAAATTGCCAAAAATATGAACACTTACAAGATACAATACGTACTCTGGCGCCAATTGCCTTAAACAAAGTCTTGATATCAGAATCTTTACGCCCACACATCAAACTACCAGCGAGAGTCTGAATAAAAGAAGAAAAACAAAACAACAAAATAGACATGTTCGAGAAAGGAAACTGTACTTAGTAGAACTAACAACAAAATGACTTCAGCATGTCAAATTAGCAATCGTGGTAGACTTTTGTAAAATAATGTTTCATTATCGCAATAGTGTATGTGTCAAGATATGATAGGACAGCTTAAATGAAAGACGCAACAAACAATGATCATACCGCAACATTTCTGATTTGTTCAGATCCATATCTAGATATCATTTCCAGAATAACTGGTACGTGCCTGCTCTGTTCATCTGTAAAAAGGATATTGTAAATTAATTATTTAAGAATGTACATCACTGGAGTGAAAATGAGAAAAAAATATTATGTACAGCTACATTCATTTAAACGTTCATACCAGAAGGACCAAGATGGGTAAAAGCAAATGGCACACTTTTTTAAAAACAATAGACAGCTTTAAAATGATTTTCCTTAATCTTGAAGAATTGTGTATCTTTTATACGATACCTAAAAAGAAGATAGGATTGTATTTTCAGTTCTTCAAAGAGACGACCGAAAGACCAAAATGGTAACTAGCAAATGCACACTTTTTTAAAACAATAGACAGCTTTAAATTGTAAAGAAAATGGTTTTTCATTAATCTCGAATTATATATCTTTTACTTAAAAAAAGTTGGGATTGTGTTTACAGTTCTTCAAAGAGATAATTTAAAACCTTGGTACTAACCTTATTTTAATTATACATTAATTTACTTGTAATTGTTGAATTAAGAAAGACGAATTAAAAACAAACCAAACATAATGAGACTTCGTAACAAAAATCACCTTTGAGGTTTTTCATTGCATTCTGGAGATGCTCAGCAAGTTCCGATATAGTGCAGGCCCCGCCTACTATAATGCCATCATATGTTTTGGCAACGCTTTTCATATCGGCAACATCACCTCCATAAAGAAGAACATTTTCATCGTCAAACGCGCCATTCGCCACGTAACGTGCTTAAAAGAAGACCATGCTTGGTACATACATATATATGATATACATTATTGAAACGATAGTCGTATGTAATATAGGGGGAAAAACAAACAAATAAATGTCTCATTTTAAATAGCCTATGAGTTCTTACAAATAAATATTGTTATCGTTACACGTTTCAATCTTATGTATGCAACGCGATCAGTGTCATTTTGATGTGGGTCTCTATTTTTTCTGTTTATATTACAACAAAAAGTTTGGTTGGAAATTGTAGATGTAGCAATGTTTAAAATTCTAAAGTACAAGCAAGCGAATATATGGATGCTATGACTGTCTTAATATGCTTACAACCACTTTTATGTCCTGTGAATATATCAATTTTATCTTATGTTTTATTTTATTTTTTTATTTATTTATATACGATGCTGGTTAACCTGTATATTCTTATCATGTGTAATTATCTACTACTGATTAATTTTGATAAAACATTGTCTTTTTGCTTTTACTGATACATATTCATAATTTATTATGACACTTTATCAATTAATACGATGGCACTTGAGCTTAATACGAAGGATGCTTATCATTGTATTATCTCCTTATCATTTCCAAATATATATGTTTTCTTGTTTTGTTTTGTGTGGATAATCGGTATCAATATTTCATTAAAACATGCCTTGTAGCTATACGATGCTGATACTTTATACAGTACTATCATGTCATGTCATCATTAGCCTCATTCACTATCACATCTTGCTTACTTTATATTAACACAAGTTATTTTCCAATATTATTATGGGTACAGGTGAAATATGTTGTTATGTATTCCGGTCACAAAACTCGTATTCCTCGTTAAGTTCACTCGTGATTAAATAGACAGATTTGCCAGTTTTAGAGATACGTTAAATTTGGTTCATTTTTTAAGCGTAGTTTAAAGGCCCTTTCTTTTCATGTCGTCTGTTTGTAAGTTGACTTATTCTGTCAACTTAAAATGAATAATTAAAATGCTATAGCTTATCTCCTGTATCAAAATTTAGCACAATGAATCAATTAAAAATATATGTGACGCGTGTTTACGAAGAGAAACAAAAGCTGTTACTAATACATTGCGCTAGACTATATGCTGTGCTTAACAGTATAATAGGGAATTTACAAAGAGGGAATTGTTTTTATCAAAACATGCCATGGATATCAGCCTAGGATAGTGGCCAAAAAGTATATCATGTTCACTAACGGTCACATTTTAATCCAAATCAATACCACCAGCGTTTTGGGTTTAAAAAGAAACCATTGATAACAATTTCAAAGTTTAGATCACATGTAATATCATTCTTTTTGAACACTGATGTATGCAAAAACGTTATTATAACATGAATTTTGATAATCTGTAAGTTTATAATCTGGCCAATCTCCACGTTTGATCGTTGGCCTTGAATAATAGCAACATTTAGTGGAAAATTATCAAATAATATTATCACACTTTTTATGAGCTAGCATCAAGGAATAGGAAATTGTCATCATATGATCAAAAGTAATCATAATTAAACCACACATAAGCATAGTAAAGTGGTCATATAAATTTCACATTATAATATACTAAATATTGCTGACCCGATGGTATTTTTCGATTCGTTGAGGTGGTTATGGTTAAAAAACGTCGACACCAACACACACACATACATGTACGTTATATAAGCAGCACGTACCAGTTACTTGTCTTCATGCTTTAACAGATATGATGTTCCATACTATTACATGTAGAATTACTTTACCTGTTGTTGTGTTGCCCATGATAATTGGAGACCGTGGATATTTTTCTTTGAGGTCCAAAAGCTGTTGCAAGTTAACTGGCCGGTACCATGTGTATCCCCCATTCGTGAACTGTTCCTCTTTGTCGAAATATTGTTCACGTAACTAAGCAATTTTAAAACATTAGCTATTTATACCTGACCACGATACGGACCTTATTTCGAATATATTATCAATATAACATGTTAAGCTATATAAATTTTGGCACTTTATCGTCAAATAACCATCCTTTTATTACAATTATAGAAATTTTCATAACGAAACCTCAAAATTGCTAGTTACATTCACCTGTAAGAAGCACTTTGTTGCAGTTATGATTTCATTATTGCATATTTAAATGATTTATTAATAGACTTCACATAAACGTAAAAGAAGGGGAAACTGTTTATAAATTGAATACGTAATGTTAATTCGAGATGCTGTTAAAATAAGTTGCAAATGCGAAGAACCATTGACAAAGCTTTAAACATATTTCAAGAAGATCTGCACACATACCTGAAGTTCAGGCGGAAATATTGCAACCTGTTTATCATTGTCATCAGTGACCAGTTGCTAGAATGTGATAATAATGAAGTTGTTATATGCATGAATACAATTTATAGTTTAAAATGTCTTTCAGAGCTTGAATAATTGTATCAAAAGAACTGTATTTTGGGAACAAAAACATTTTGCATTATTTCATTTTATTACATGCTTTTCGGTGGTTTATAGAAATATATCAATGAAATAAAAACTTATAAATTCACTGATTCGAATATTTGAGCCCGGTACGTTGTTTCAGTGAAATACAAGCGTTCACAGTACTGGAAACCAACTTAATGACGTGAGGTGAAAATGTCTTTTTAAACGTTTCTTTACATATAATAAAAAGAAAATGTATTTAGTTTTATAAAATATCGAAATATATTTCACCTCGTGAACACCAAAAGTTCATATTTCACTCGTGGCTGCGCCACTCGTTAAATATATCTTTTGGTGCTCACTCGGTGAAATATATTCCGATCTTACACTGACCAAAACAAATATCCTCTATAAGTTTGGCCTATCAATACGGAATGTACAATCATGTTATTCTTTATAATTGTATTTGGGTAATATCTAAATAAATACAATAAGAAAAATCTGCTTGCTAAATTATTGTTCTTTTCATTGAAGATAGTTTTACATTATCTTCCTTATTTTTAATGAATATTCCATTGGCTTTTCAACGCCATTACATTGTGTTCCTCTTGAAAATGTATATGTCCTCTTTTCAATTAGTATGTTTTAACATTATTTTCCTCATTTCAATGAATATGCTATATAAAATTAAGAACAATATAACTTTGTCCTGTTCTATTAATTTTATGCATGTGAAGTTTGAAAAATGTTTTACGATTGAAGTTAATACTTAACAACAAACATTAAAACTGGAAATAAGGGATTCGAGTCGTATGCTAATAGGATATAATACAAGTTTTATTCCTATCAAACAATACCTTTTTACTTTTGTCTTGGTTAGTATCTACTGAGCCTGTATTTTTACAGCATGCCTTACCCATTGGACATCCTTCCTAACGACAAAAATGAAAACAAAATAAATCTCAACAGCAAATATGACTTATATATTCCTACATTGCTATATAGACGTATTCTTCTTTATTTATATACATATGCACTAACATTTTTACGTTAATCTTTATGCTATAATTGAATCGTTTTTTCTAAAGCTTTACACCTTACTTTACCCTGAAATCGCAAAATACAATGTAATTACAAATTAAAATTACCTGTGAAATAAAATTATTATTTACAATTTCTAATGCATTGTTTACAAACTTCTTTTTTCATAATTCAAAATTGTAAATTTCTGCGCATTTTGTGTATAATCATACAATTTCGACGATAGAAAAAATATTTAGATATCTCCTCATTTGATGTCATGGTGTAAAGAATTGATAACGTTTTAAAAATAATAAGAGTTTGCTCGGACTATATAAGAATGTTTTATAGTATTATACCTCGGTAAATGTTAGAAGTGCGTCTAGAATAGGCCGGTATCCTGTGCATCGACAAAGGTTTCCTAAAAATAAACACCAAAAGATATAAACAAAAGAATATAGGAATAAATTTCCATATCCTTTCACTAATAAATGAACGGATCTGATAAAATCGCCCATCGCTTTTATGAACATGTAAATAAGTTTAGCATTAATGATAACGCATTTCTGTAAATAATAAAAAAAAAAAGTAATAGTAATAATGATAATAATAATAATAAATAAAGTAAATAAAAAAACATCCCAGAGAAACAATAGATTATAGTCACATTACACAATACCTTCAATGGCGCGTTCAACTTGGTCACATGTCGGATTTGGATTGTTTCGCAGCAAGGCAAACGCTGACATTATAAAACCAGGAGTGCAGAAACCGCACTGTAGTCCATGAGATTCCACCAAACGTTGCTTAATAAAATAATTTATTATAAAGAATAATAAATGGCATCTATTCATCTTAACTCGTTCAAAACGGGGCTTTATAATTATACACTGTCTATAAATGATATACATTTTATGCAGTATGTTGTTGTTAATTGAATGAAAGTCTCATGTGGTGAATCATGTCATTGCTCTTTTTGGAGTTAAATGAGATAGTAAGACATAAACTGTGTGATAAACATAAACAACAAAAGTGATAAACATAAACAACAGAACAATTTGATATTATACTAAAATAACCGAGATCTACATGCATGAATGTCAGAGGAGTGAACAAGAACGAAATATTGCATCATGTGAAACGTTTTTATATTATTATTAAATGTTATGATATTTAGGAAAACTCTATTGCTATTAATCATACAGTTGGTCTCGGGAATATTTACCTGAACGGCGTGCAACCCAGTGGCAGGGTTTCCAACTCCTTCCACAGTTGTGATAGCCAGGCCATGTGCCGCACATAGCGGGAACAAACATGCATTGACAGCATAGTGTATAAAGTCGTTCAGGAAAATTTAATTGCATTCATGTGACATACAAGAAGAATCATGATTTTTAAATTTTTCAAATTACATTAATTTTATGAAACAATGAGAATCATCGTAATGAAATTCCTTTGCATTCATGTTACATACAAGAAGAATCACAATTTTATGTGTTTGCATTTATAAAACGTACAAGAAGAATCATGATATTATATGATTGCATTTAGGATACATTCAATTAGAATCATCATAATGAAATTTAAATGCAATTATGGTACAGACTAGAAGAGAAAACCGTAATAATTTTGTAATAAAAATTGACTACTTTTATGCAAAATAAAAGAAGAATTGATAATACATAATAACTATCACGAAATACTGAATATCATTATTATAAATATTTTGAATAAAAGTGAATGTCGCAATATGTTACTGTGACTTAATCTGCACATAGTAAACATGCAACACTTGACAGTTGTATAAAACATTAAATGTCGAGGGCATGAAAGCGTAAGTATCATTTGTTAGTTTATACGGTGCACTTTTATAATCATAATATGTTGTATGTTTCAATTATACATACACCAATTTCGTAGTAGATGCTCGGATATCAAGAAACATGCTGAATGTTTATAAAAATTAAATCAAATGCGCAATGTAATGAGTACATGTGGCAATATAAGGATACGTAACACGTTTGAAACAACACCATATGTGTAATAACGAGTTGCATATACAGTCAAAATAAAAGATTACTCCAAATAAACAAGTTGTAAAACTTGCCAAAAATTTTAAACACCATGTGTTTGCTGTATGAGTACAATGCACTTTTCAAAAATAATGAGTTATCCATTTAAATTTAATATCGCAAACCGAACGCAACCGATATGCATGCACCAGAAAATTGCCAAATTCTAACATTTGGAGTGTATATAAAAGTGTACCAAATTCACCAGCTATGAGAAACAGGTGGCAATCTTAGGATACTTAATGCGCTTGCTGGTAAAATCATATCTAGACACCATCACAGTGCACGATCCACATCCTCCATGACCACACCCTTCTTTTGTGCCTGGTAAAAAAACTGAAACAACAAGACCAAAATATGTCTCATATTTTTATGAAGGCTGTGTTTTGGTCACTTCCTGAAGAAGTCTCCCAGAATAGTTTACTTAAATTCTAATATATACTTGTTGATGTATTTAAACATGTTCCTTTCCAGTAAATAACACTTATTGTTTTTATACATCCTCCTTAAGCATTAAATGGGATATTTCAAAATGTCCCTTTTATATGTTTTTATCTTTTGAAATATACAATTTTTGGTTTTATTGTTATAGCAGCACGCCTGATGCTAATTTTCATAAATTTTAAAAGTGTATTTGAATTTGTAATATTGTGATTTAACCAAAAGTAAGCAATTTACAGCCATTATCAATGGCACTTATAAACCACGTAAATTACCAAAAAGTGGTCAAAATATGCATATAATAGCCTTCTCTGCGTAAGGTACGCAGTAGAAATATAGTTGTAAATACTGAAAAATCAGTCATTAAGGTGATTCCGCTTTGTCAGCCATGTTTGTTTTCACAAAGTCTGTCCAAAGTGAAAGTAGGCCAAAATTCATATAACAACAAAGCTCACATTGTTACATGATGAACCATTTGCAAGTTCACTTCCAGTTCTACATTTAAAAGACTATTTTAAACAAAAATAAAAATGATAACAATAAGAAAATTTACCTTGAATGTGCTACATTTCTGAAGACCAAAAACATTCTGTTGCAAAGTTTTATGCACAATTCATGAATGGCAAAATCCTTTTTAAAGTATGTTTTAGTGCCTACAAAAGCTATTTTTTGCAGAAAATACAAAAAACTTTAAAAAACATAAATCTTAGGAAAGTAGTTTATCTGACCTTGAAAAAACATGGCCACCATGACATGTGTAAAAAAGTAGTACCATGAAAATAAACATCATTTACCTATTTCTTGTGTACATGACAAACAGAGACACTTCACTGTTACACATAAAAAAGGTTAGATTTTAAAGTTTGATTGTGTTTTCATTTTAATTGTAATTCATAGGGCTATAAATGATGATTGTTTTCTTGCACTACTTTTTTACAAGAAATAATGGAGGCCATGTGCTTAGAAGGACATGAGATACGGATTTATTTGGAGTTAAGTTTTGAAAGATTTTTGCATTTGCTGCAAAAAATAGCTTTTGTAGGCACTAAAACAGACTTTCAAAAGGATTTTGCCATTCATGAAATGTGCATAAAACTTTGCAACAGAATGTTTTTGGTCTTCAGAAATGTAGCACATTCAAGGTAAATATTCTTATTGTTATCATTTGTATTTCTGTTTTAAATAGTCTGTAAAACATAGAACTGGAAGTGTACTTTCAAGTGTTTCATCATTTTACATTGTAATCTTTGTTGTTATATGAATTTTGACCTACTTTCACTTTGGACAGACTTGGTGAAAACAAACATGGCCGACAAAGCAGAATCACCTTAATAGCACATAATATGTTATTGAAGGCATGTAGCTTTAAATTGAATTACAATGTGAAACATTGCTTAAATTGGGTTATGTATAAAATTGACAGCCAATGTTCATATCAATGGGAAAAAACATTCTTTATTATAACAAAAAAATCACAGACAAAAAATACGGTGAAAAACATTGGTAAGTTTTAAATTGAATCAGTTTTATCCGAGACAGGCGCCAAAAGTTTCCATTATATAACAAATACAAACTCATTTGGCATTTTCTAAGCACCTATTTTAAACAGCATCTTCTTGTTAATATGTTAATGTTATTGTATTGTTTCTAAAATGTATTGATTGGTATGAATATTTTTTTTCAAATTTTTCTTTAGCTTTTAAAAGAAAAATATTTAAGCGAGTGAACATAATTTTCTTTAACTTTGAGTGTTAAAATTGAATAATGATATGTAAACAATTGGAAAAAGTTTGGTCATCAATAAGTTACCTGCCTTTAGTTGTTTTCTATTTTAGGCCATTTATTTAACGACAGATAACTCAAAGTCAAGCCTTCTGATACCTGATAATATTTAAAATAATTCTTTGTTACTTTTCCAATCACTAAGGAAAGTTTCAAACAAATGACATACATTTCGTTATGCTTTATTGAGTAAATCTAATGAGAATCTCTTCAAAAATGGGCATAACTTGAAGAAAATACCTATCATATCGCATAACTAAAAATGGATAGTATATTACAGTCATATTTCATTTTAGCAAATAGTGAATCATGCTAAGGAGTTATTATGTAAAAAATGAATTTTGGATTGAATTGCGTTGCTTGCTTCAGTGTTGGGTTCCTTGTCCTTAAAATGCACGGGAACGAGCAAACCCCATTTTCGGAGGCAGGTATCTCAAGAAGTAGGATGGTGAACCAAGCTCTTCTTTCTTTTTTATACATTTATTTCAATTTTTCTAAATTATGCAAAGTTTAATATTTCTTCTGTTCACTAAAATATGTGTTCCCCTTTTACTTGCGTAAAGAAAAAAAAAGAAAAACATTCAAATGTCAAAAGTACTTTTACTCATTGGCTTTCATTTAGTTTGTGTTATCAACGGCTCGTATAAACATGTTGAGATCCAAAATTGTACTTGATTGACACAGATAATCCGTTAAATTTTATGTAAACACTGTATTTTCTTAAACCAATTTCATCTCTTACATGTATACTGTAAAGTTTAAAGATAACACGTATAAGTTGAACTATACTTATTGACCCTTTTTCACCTCTCCTACTATAATTTTGTTTAAATGTTTTGTTTAAATGCGACACAGATAAGTTGAACTATATTTATTGTGTTGAAATTGTTAAAAGTAAACATTTTCAGACTTAGGTATTATTCCGGTTTTTAAAAATATATGAATGACAAACAATGCTACTTCTTTTTGGGGAAAATGAGTCATTAAACTTCTTGCGAAGATTAGTCATAATATTTCGTTAAAAAATAAAAAAGGAATAAATTTGGAAGTAACGATATATGTATATAAAAATAAAATGGGCAAAACAGTTTGCAGTATATATTTATATAAAGTGTTCAAAAGATACTGTCACAAAACTGAATAACATGAAAATGATAAGCGCAAATATCATCTTTATTTATTTAAAACTTCATCTATAAAAGCCCTGATACAATTAAATATTTCATACGTGTTCGCCGGAGATACTGCAGAAGTGTACACTTTGGATCTGGACTTGTTTCACAAATCTAAAAAAGAACAAAAATAAAAGTAAGTATAGTATATTTCACGAAAGAATTTGCTAAGCCTAGGGTCACATCAAGGTCTTTCTTTACAGAAAAAGATCAAGGCTTAGAGACATATCGGCCCTTTTATTGATCGATTCATAATTATAACTTTGGAAAAAGCATATGAATATGTTATATCATAGTCATCTTGACTTAACAATTAATATATAAATTTCAACAAGGACTCAAGATTGTATTCAATAAGTCATGTTTTGATGTTATTATTGAAAAATATTGTGAGAATATATCAAAAAAAAGAACATTATACTTTAACAAACACACAAAATAAAAATAGATATTAACTTTCTAATAAGAAAGCGACGTTTTTTATCGGAGCGATACAAAACAACACGGCACAGCACACTAACACAACATACTAGACAATGATGGCATGATACATCTAACCCACTGGTCTAACATAAAGAAAGTAAGTACCAATTAAAACTAAATTTTAACTTATTTATTATAAACAAACATTCTTGTTGATCAACATACTTTTGCTAATAATGATATGTTCATAATAGCGATGATCACGCTATGTTATAAACACTACATAATATAAGGGCCGTTGTTCCTGAAGAAAATAGTCTAAAATTGCATATCCTACTTGAGAGATAAAAATGTTTGGACCAATCCTTTTTTTGTTAAATAACGACTCTTGGTTATATAATAACTACAAATGCAATACGTGTACAGAGTGACCTAATTCTGTCGAAACAAGTCAGTTAAACATATTTAGATAATGACCGGTAAATATTGTTGTATCATAGTTTGGGGACCTTTCTGTTGAAAAAGTGTCAGAGTTAAATCGTATACATATACATGCACAGTGCGGTAACTGGAGTGCAGGTATCAATTACCCGCACTCCAGATAATGCCCATTGATTGGTTCATTTTTGCTGGGGTTCACTTATTGTGACGGCAGAGAAAGAGAAAGGGGCAGAAATATCAAATTCAAATGCTCGTTTATTGGTTCATTTTTTCTGGGGTTTCGTATTATGACAACAGGGAACGTGCTGTCATGTTTGACTATGATACAAAAGAGAAAGAACACCAAAACACTCGGCAATCTGATTTATACTCGGGGGCTACGCCCCCGAGTACAAATCAGATAGCCTCGTGTTTCGGTGCTCTTTCTATTACTTATACTTTAAACCCATTTTAGATATCTGAAAGTTGAGGTCTTGTTATACAACATAATGTAAAAATTTATGCGTATGTCTTCCACCATACCAATGTCAATATTTTATTTGGATTATGATAAGTTATTCATATTGCTAAAGAACGCTTTTAAATCATTATTTTAGATTTTGTTTGTATATACTCCGTATTTGTCTTAGATGTTTTGCAAGATAAGTCAAAAGTAAATCATTGTTTCCGCATTCGGATGGTACGGCCGACCGATTGTTTAAAATGTCTTATTGTTCATACCGAACGACACAAACAACTTTTGAATAAATTTCAAAACAATAAAATGAATTGATAAAAAGTCAGCTTTTATATAGTTTGTTTAGGTAAGGCTGAATCATAAGTACACACCTAAAGAAGATGCTTTTCTTCTAGTACAATATTAATATTAGAAATGTATTGAAAATGCACCGACAAAATTTCATAATAAACGAATTGTTATTAAGATGAATCTTTTTTTGTAACTTATTTCTTTTTTCTTTCTTTCGAAATTGAAAAGAGTTTTGCAATAAAACTTCTGATTGCGACACTCGTTGTACTAAATGTATTAATCACAAAGGTAATGCAAATATTATTATGCAAATCATGATTCTGACAAAATAATACCTTCTTTCCATTCACGAAAAACGTAAGGCAGGTTCCAGAACGAGACATAGTTGAACTTTAAATATATGTAAGTGCGAGAAATATCTGTTTTATACTCCGTAGTCACTGTTTATAATCTAGTCTGTATAGCTTATGTAGGTCAATGCAGATAAAATATTTATATTTAAGCCAGATATGTCAATTTAGGTATTAAATGAGTGTATTAATGTAATCTCAAAATGAAATGTAAGATGAGGTCAACATTGTGTACTTTTTCAGTTTGTAAATTAAAACAAATAAGCGTAAGCAAATAAGATATGCGTCAGTTTAAAATGATCAATGCTGGGAGACATATCGGCCCTTATATTAATCGATCCATAATTATAACTTTGGAACAAGCATATAAATATATTATATCATAGTCATCTTAGCTTAACAATTAATATATAAATTTCAACAAGGATTCAAGTATTCAATAAGTCATGTTGTGTTGTAATGAAAAATCATTGTAAGAATATATCAAAATAGAACATTATACTTTAACAAACACACAAAATAAAAATAAAAAAATGATATTAATTATTAACTTTCTAATAATAAAAGCGACGTTTTTTCATCGGAACAATACAAATTACCACGGCACATTGCACTTACACAACAAAAACATGCTATATCACTTACAATTTTTTGTCGGCTTTAATGGATCTAACCAACTGGTCTAACATAAAGAAAGTACCAATGTAAACTTAAAATTTGACATATCTAAATTAACTTTCTTATTGATCAATATAATTTTGCTAATGATATGTTTATAACAGCCAGGAACACACTATATTAAAAATAAAATAATATAAGGATCGTCGTTTCTGACAAAATAATCGAAAAGATAAAAATGTTTAGTCCCATCTATTTGGTAAAAGAATGGCTCTTGGTAATTTAATAACTACACATGCAATAAGTGATAATTGTACAGAGAGACCTAATTCTGTCGGAATACATGTACAACATAATGTAGAAATTTATGCGTATGTCGTCCACCATACCAATGTCAATATTTTGTTTGCATTATGAAAAATTATTCATATTGCTAAAGAAAGCTTTTGCATAATTACTTTAGATTTTTTGGTATTTACTCCGTATTTGTCTTAGATGTTTTGTATGGAAACGTATACTGACCCCCTTTATATTTGTTGCTATTTAGTTGATATTTTATCATTCTATTTTTCGGCACTTATTTATAAAAAAAACAATAATTGTGAGTAAATAACTGTTAAGAAAAGTAGCAGCCTATATTCAAGGAAAATTATATTTGACATGATATTTATAATTCGTTTTTGTTAGTTTTATTTAAACTGATACAAGTAAAAGTGTGTTTTCAAGCCTTCAAACATTTCGCACAAGAGATAATTCATCGTGATGATGCTGATTATTAATTCCTTCCGGCGCGAGTAAGGTAGTGAGGAAAATTGAAGAGAGTGGAAAGGTTTTATGAAATTTGTAAAACAGATTTTTCAAAACCTTTACAACAATATCTAAAAATAAATATTCACTTATTACTAAAATGATGTACATTCGGTTGACATTAAGTCAGCTACATTAAAAAAAAACAGAAAAAAATAAGGCAATGATTATCTGTTTTGAAACAAGCAGGTTCAAAAACACGCTCAGTGATTCCCATTTCTCCGCTTTATATGTTTTTGATACTCTAAAAATGTTTGAAATGACCTGTAAGCTGTTCTTTATTTATAAAATTTGCCTTTCGGAGAGCAACATAAGTTTAATCATGTCATATATACATTGAATAACTTAATTTCAATGAATTTCCTTTCAGGTGTCCTTCAGTACTGACAATTCAAGGTATCCTATCTGTGGAGAGAGGAACGGGGAATATCTTTATTTTACGTGGTCTCATCCTCTGCAAAATATGTGATGAAACACAAAAATCCAGTGGCAATAACCTGTGGTTGTGCCCTTTTTGTCGGACAACCATTCAGAGCACAGGAAACATTCACTATTAAAATATCAGACAACAAGACATAATCATCATTTTCAGTTGTATTTTCATTACTATGTTCTTTGTAAACACCCTGTGCAGTGCATTGTTTTCATTCTCAATTTGTGTCCGGGTAGCTTAAGTACCAGTCTGTCGATTTTTATGTGCTTCTGCTCGGCAAATCGACATTATCAAAACCAGAGATGTTGTGTTATCTATGACGATTGAGTATTAAATAGCGAGTATATTATGAATAAGCAAAAATTATCAACGCCTGAATCCCAGGCTAGTGTCCAGGCTATAATTCGAAAAGTTCAAAGAAATTTTACAACTAGAATAAATTTATAAAGGAGAAGCGCACCATAACACTCTTGAGCGATAACCCGTTGTGTAAAGTAACTTTTCGTTTTTTTTATCTAGAACAAAACTAATGAAAAGTATTTGATTTATCAATATGAAACTTCAAAGATTAATAAATCTTATTAAAGAAAGGTACTTTTTCAAGAACAGTAATTCTTTTATGCATAATTTTGTGTTCGTTCATAAAAATAAATATGTCACGGCCATGATAATGGCAAGGTAAGGTAGTTTAAACCCTGTCCGTCTTTGAGTGCGTGTTCGAAAACATTGTCCATCCAGTAATGCTGTCATGCATGAATGGATTTTGAAATAACTTAACATAATTGTGTAACTTGATTAATGGTTTATCATTTGCAAGACCTAGACCCATAGCTTCAAGATATAAGTCACATAAGTCAGAGGGTCAAAGGTCAACATTGAGAAAAATCGTGTATGGCTCTTATCGCTGTCATGTATCAAGGGATTTTATTATAACTTGGCAACTTGATCATGAGACGGTATGCAATGCGCTAGACCTAGACCCTATCTTCAATGTAAAGGTAACACACTTAGAGGCCAAATGTCAGCAGTCAGAACATCGTATCCGGCCGAAACTATGTCATGTTTTAAGGAAATTCGAAACAAATTGGCAAAGTCATATTGAAACGGTATGCGACTTGTAAAACCAATACTTGTTCCTCCAAGGTCAAGGTTACACTTAATCTGGGGAACATGAATTAACTAAAGATCGATGTTAAGCATGAGGAGTTGGTGTGTCATGCGCAATATCTAGAACCTTTGATTCAATATAAATGAAATCTTGTCCAGCCAATACTTTTGTCATGCATCAATGGATTTGAAATAAATTTGTAAAAAGGCACACATGTGTAACATCACCAAGGGATTCTGAAAATGCTTGGCGCATTGATAAGCATGATAAGATGGTGTGTCAAATGCATGACATAGACCCCTAGGTTCTAGGTCAAGATCACACTTAGAGGTCAAAGGCTAGAAATTCTTGTCCATCCTTAAACTCATGATACGCGAGATTATAAAGTCAGTTGGTAAAATTGTTATGCATAATGAGACCTTGTTAACAATTGTGATAATCAATTTTTTGACAATACTTTACTGTGTGTTGCCATAACACCTTCATTCATAATTTTTGGTATTCCAAGATATATAGCAGGTACATCCGTGTCATTCAAACACACTGCTTGTTGCACTTTGTAATTTGTCATGTTTATTTTTTTGTCTACAAATATTAATATTATATTTAATAAACCATTAATTGCCTCATGTTTCGGTGTCATACATTTGGCTTAAAGAAGTAAGAGGAAAATCTTTGGACAGGGATGAACAATCAACAACAACACAAATATCTGAACTGGCTACTGTAACCTTAAAATATACGTGTAAAGTATACTTACTAGAGCTATGCACCTTAGTACTATGGATTTATTGGAAGTTAATAATACCAATTGTGAATGAAATTGTTAGATCACAAGGTGCAAACGCTGGAATTTCATTTGTAACCTTTTGAGAAAAACTGAAATATTTTCACAAGCGCGTGTAATAATCGTTCAATATGCATAGAATACATACATACACTGTACATGATATTTTTGAACTTCGGTGTGCGTAGCTACGCAAACACTACTCAACCAAAAGTTATTTTAAAGCCTCGCCATTACTATAATTAATTTTAATGACGAAATGATATTTAAATTGAGAAATGTGCCATGTCAAAAATAAATCAATGAGTTGAAAAGGAGGAAAGAGGCACCGTCGGAAGGATCTAATTATTATTTGAAAGAACACAGTAACAAAGACGTCTGGACATAATTTGTAAAGAAATTACAATTGACACTAAAATATACTATTCTTTCTTTTTTTCATATGAAGGCCAACTGAGAGATGTCAATGAAGTAACAAAGTTCCATTATAAAAAAAACAAAATGTAGAGGTCATTATACATTGTTGACAACAACACTTATTCTATTGGACAGTTACAAAATCTACATCATACGCGGTTAAATCCTCGTCCAATATAGATCTGACAGCCGTGTACATGTCCAATAGAATTCAGTATTGTACGCAATAGTATATAATAACCTTAATATGAATATAAGATAGTTATGATTATAAGTATTATGCTTATAGACACAAGTAAATGGAAGTGTGGTTATCTTTGAAAAGACATTTTGGAAACAGCCATTCATACTATTCTTATCATGTGTATTCTTTAAAGTTCTGTTTATTATATATTTCTAGCTAAACAGAAACACAACTAACAGTGCTAAGACGGTGCTCAATTGTCTACCGATATATTGAGTAAAATACAAATTGGCACATGAAGGACATCTGAACATATATTTCCGGTGACAATACCACGTGACTTTTGTGGTTCATGTTAGTGAACTTACGATCAAATTTTTATTTTATTTTTGAATATTTCATTTTTATGGAATTAAGTGAAGAGCGCGCTCATCCTAGTGATAAACACATGCATTGAATATTTTATTTTAAAAAAGCTATGGCAAAACAATCCTAAACCGTTTTTATCTCGCAAATCACAAAAAAATCACGTGATACAGACACCATGATATTGTAAGGGATATTTTGGTAAACATTCAATTATACAATTAGATCTATATAACTTCAACATTTTTGCATGCGTTACATTTGGGTGCAGATAATTAGATAGTGAACGTTGGTAATTATATTTGGAGACATGTATCTTTTTAACCGGTAATACTTTATTAAATATTTATTCAATCTATATTATAGTATATCCAATGATTGTATTTCACAAATTTTTAAATAAAACGATGTGGAATTTTA